CCCTGAGTGCTCTTGTGTAGTTTAGTATATATAGGTGTACAAGATTAGACTGGTCCTGTAGTCTTAATCTTGTCTACTCCAGGTAGTCCTGTACTCTTAGACTCACTCTATATACTCTACTCTTGTCTCACTCTCTCTCTCTACCTGTTCTGCAAGTTCTAACTACATTCTGGTGCTTACATTCTGTATTTCTGTTGTGTAGGATAATTGTAGCCTGGGTCCCCTTGCTGAGCCTTCAGGTCCCCTCTGTACTGTTGCTGACAACTTTGCTACATACATAATACTATATATGGCTATTGTATACAAACTTGAAGTTATACAGTACTTGATTAAAAACAGCTATAGAAAGTGGAAAGGGAATCTGACTTTAGTAACTAGAAAGTGTATTTCACCAAACAGAGTTGGAGTTAGAGAAGATACTGACTGTATAAAGAGGATGTAATTCAGTGTTCAAATCACAAGTTATTACTGAATATTTCACAGATTACAATATGTTTCTCAACATGATACAAACACAAAAGTAATGTAGGAATGGTAGTGATGTAACTTGAGTAGCTTTGCCTGGGAACATTAATGCCAAACTTGTAATGATGAAGTGCCCAGGTTTGCTACTGTCCTGTTTCTTGATTATAGTTGCTAATAAGGGAAACGTTCTGATGAGATCTATGACATACAATATAGTGCTGATACTGTCTTATAATGCAATCTTGCAAAGTATGTAAGATAGTGAGTCACAAGAACAACATATTTCCTGTTACCTATCAACTTATAGTATAGGTGATCCTATCATGTCAGACAAGGACCACTAGTCAACTGACAATAAAGGCTACACTGAGATCCCTTTCACTATGTTCACTATGGGAGACAAAGTTCCAGGTGTCAGCAAGAATCTCTCTGAATCTAGGGCAAAACTGCCAACAGTGGCAGATCACAGTCGGCCACAGGATAATAAAACTGAAAAGGATGAAGAAAAGAAGTAAGTCAACTCTTCTAATGATTGCAGCTCAATCTATGCTCACTTGGAATTTTAGATGAGAACCAAAGAGATCAGACACTTTAAACATACCAGGACAAAAACGACTGAGTTCAGAACTGTATACAGGAGTGTTGTCATTGTCATGTCCTATTGTATATGGGCTTAGACTGTTATAATATGTAGAACTTGTCCAATAAAGACACGTTTGTTTTCTATAATAATGTGTGATAATGTCTAAGTGTCAAATAGCACAGCCAGCATAAATAATCAGCTTATATTGTGTGAGCAGGGATTAAGCTAAGCAGTCACAACTCTATGAGTATATATTGTCTGTTTGAATAGACAGACCTTGCCACACAACTCAACAAAGTCAATATGAAGAGAATAGCCCAAATACCTTCCAATTTTTCTTTGCTTGTGAACTACTTGCAGCTTACGAGCGTTGAGAGTTCAAAAGCATTTTTGTAATGTCTATACAGAGGTACATATACAAATGCTGAGGCTTGCTGTGTCTGGGAGAGTGTAACATAGACAGACAACTTTGCGGCTGTGTCAAACACTGTTCTCGTTTCATGTTTCATTTCCGAAAGTCATTTCTGGAAACCCTAGCTTTCCGGTCGTTGCGCCTGAGAATTTTATATCCGGGGTGGAACGGCTCTCCAAGCCCGTCGCGGCGTGTGCAAGCTCCAGTATACTCGCGTCTATTTTGCAGCCAGTCGCCGCCAATGGCCGAGGGTAGCAGTTATAAGTTCACAAAAGCAGGATTCAAGACACATACAATAAGAACTCTTCTCGGATAAAATGCCAAGGGAAGCGAAGGCAAAGGAGATGAAGAGTATTGACAATTCCTGACCTGTCCCGATATATCTCGTTGAACCCTCCTCTTCTGAAGATGAAGACAAGGAGGAGGTAAAGTCAGAAAAACAGGGAGATAAGGAAGACAAGGGCACTAATAGAGGAAGGAATGCGCATCAAGAAAGCAAAAAGCCCAGGAAGTCGAAAAGGAACAGGAGAGCCGCCGAAAGCAAGGAGGACCACTGACGTGCTCAAGTATTCATGATGCTCTCGTGGTCATGAAGTTTCGGTTCTAATAGTACCTATATTTCCCAATGATTTTGATGCTGCCTGCAATAAACAGTGTATTGACAACTTGAAGTTTCGCTAGCCGCATCCATTTATAAACCTATGTCATTGAAAGTGAGTTTGCGTCTGTAACAACACCTGTTTGATTTGTGCAAAATTTAACGACTTCCGCATCTAGTGTTGCTTCTGCTTTGAAGATGAGATATTAAATGAGTGAGCAGCGTTGATTTACTATGGATTTAGTTTGTCACTGTCTGCCTTGGCTGAGAGATATTTTGAGGGAGGGAAATTGAGTCAAATTGACGCGTACGCTCCTGATAAAATTGGGACATGTCATTTGAGGAAAGCAATTCCCACACACGAACTTCTAACTTGTGCTGCCAGCAACCAGTGAGCCAGATCACACTCAAATCGTACTTATCTCTCCCGTTGTACAGACACTACAGTGTATAATGCTCTTGTTAGATAATTCGTCCATTCTTTGGCGGCAGTCTCGTTTTACCGTCATGTTTCTTCTGTCTGGACACACGTCGTCCGAAACACGGAGCTTAGAGGCCACTTATTTCTAGCTTTAGACTTCTAGGGTGTCTACTCTCTCATGGTCTCGCCCTAAAGACATACGTTTCTCTCGCACAGTACTCTTCTGGATCCGCGTCCATGACCTCTGTGTTCGCTACGACTGACCTGTTTCGGTACTGCTTTCGTGCTTCTTCCAATTTGACGCGGATACATGACGACTCGAGCATATGTCGCTGAGAGTATGGACGGCCCGCTTCATGAGAGATTGTGATGTGCCATTTTTTTGTCGGGTACATATAATGCTGCTCGTGAGCTGGACCCGTGGATATCAGCATTGGTACTTTCGCCATGTTCACCGAACAGCTGTTTACTCTGCTCGCTCTTTCCGCCAGCCTCTTGCCAGCCCTCGCATCACCAAGCATCTCAACACGTCAAAGTATCGACACCTCTGTACACTGCGGTCAATTTGACAGCACCGTCGTAGGCCCCTACACCCTCTTCCTCGATCAATTTGGTTCGGCTGGTGCGACGAGTGGTTCACAGTGTGCACATGTTACTGCACTTAGCGGATCGACGATCAGCTGGGTGACGAATTGGACGTGGACGGGTGGGAATGGTGTGAAGAGTTTCTCGAATATTAACTTGGATGCGAATATTGGGAGGGAGTTGAGTGAGATTGAGAGTCTTCAGGTGCCTGTTTACTTTCCCCGTTTTTCTTCTTCCTCTTCATTCTGTAAGATGTGCATTGACTGAAGCATTGATTGCGTTTTTTGACCATACACAGTCCACGTGGGAATGGTCGTACGATATTACGAGCACCTCCGTCGCAGACGTCGCTTACGACCTGTTCACGTCAACCTCACCAACTGGAGACAACATCAATGAAATAATGGTCTGGCTCGCAAACATCAACGCCGGGCCTATATCAGCTGTGTTCAACGCACAGGGACAAGCGGTTCCTGCGGTGACGAACATCAGTCTCGAGGGGCATACTTGGTGAGTACGACTTAGTTCATTGTTTCATTGTTTCGCGGTTTCAAAGTCCTGTGATGTGTTGAAGAGAAAGGCTGATATGGTGATGACCTCTGTGTAATTTGAAGGAATTTGTTCATCGGATCAAACGGTGCAAATAACGTATTCTCATTCTTGCCAACGAGCGGAGAGATCATGAGTTTCAGTGCGGATATCAACTCGTTCTTGAAGGTACGTCGTTCTTCAGACGTTACATTTGTTGATCCGATTGAAACAATTTACTTTTTGCAACTGTTTAGTTCCTTATAGCGAACGAAAACCTTCCAAGTTCCCAATTCTTGAAGACAGCTCAAGGCGGTACGGAGGCGACTTCTGGTACTGGAACTCTAACTGTGTAAGTATCAACTTGTTTCCTTGATTAACGCCTCTTTGCGCGTGTTTACTAATTAAATGAGATTGAGATGCTGATATTTCCCTTCTTCCTTTGACGTTTGTAGATCGGAGTTTAGCCTCGTTTTGACTTGAACTGAACATGCTTCGCGCTTTCGGTGTTCAGTGGAGTTTGGTTTGTATGGCTTGGAGGCGTCTGATGTTTGATTTTGATGGGTCTGGGTTATTTGTGTGCTATCAAGGGTTTCGTAGACGCTCGCCCTTAGTTGTAGTCTGGTACGAGGTAAATTACATACAAAACTCCAATTGAGTTATCAGTCGATATTCCATTGCCTTTGACGCTCCAAGCCAGAGCTGAATACCCTTCACTCGTCCGGCGTTCTGTGGAGTTCGTATGATTTAGATGGTTCGCTGGCGTCTGATGATTGTTCGATATTTAATGGGATCGAATTATCAGTGTGATATCAAGGGTATCTTAAACGCTCGTCTTAAATTGTAGTTTGGCGTGAGGGTAAATTACATGCAGGATTCCATTGAGTTATCTTTAGATATTCCATTGCCTTTGATGCTCGCAGGTCGGTGTTCAACCTCGTTTTGACTTGAACTGAACAACCCCCGTTCTTTCGGTGTTCTATAGAGTTCGCATCGTTTATATGGTTTAGGTGGCGTCTGAAGACTGTTCGTGATGTTAGTGTCATCAAGGGTTTCATAGACATTCTCTTTAATCGTGGTGTGGTACGAGGTAATATATTACATACAAAATTCCGATTCAGTTACAGGTAGACATAGATGACCCAGGCGAATATGATATTACACCAAACCAAACCAAACCAGACCAGAAAGAATTTCAGACGTTTGGGATCGTGAATTGATCTTAGTGAAGTATCATCAAAGATTCAGGTTCAAATGTTCAAGAAGGCCACCAAGATCGCCGGGAAGACCGCTACCAAGCCCATTTTCGCCGCAGACAAAACGTTCAAAGCGTTGGCGGAGTTAGGAGAACCAGAGCCAGAAGCACTTGTGGTTGGTGGCGGAGCGGTCGTAACTGGTACAGCGACCATTGGGATTGTTCCTGTGGTGATTAAAGTCGATGGAGCTGCGTCTGTTTCGGTGCCTGTACCAGCACCAGCGACGACAATGGTGCACGTCCCGACGCCTTGGGTGTTGTACCCGCATTGGATGTTCCCGCCGATACCTGTTGCGAGGGTGAGTGCTTCGGAGACGTGTGTTGCGTCTTGGACGACTGTCACTGTTCAGACCCCATGAAGAAGAAAAGAAGAAAAGAAGAAAAGAATTTAGTTGTTAGAAGATAATTTAATTGAAGATGGAAGCGATGGTGAACGTACTTGTGAATGGGATATCGCCTGCGTCAGTTCCGGAAGCGGAGATGACATACGTCGTCCCGTCCGCGCCTGTGCCGACGATTTCACCTGAGATAGGGAGAGATTCTGTGTCGAACCCGGGAAGAGCGATACTTGCGTTCGTTTGTGCTTGGATGCCTGCTATCAAACATCAAACAAGAGCACACGCATATGTCAGTGACAAGTACGCGAAAACAGAGGATATGAACAAAACTCACCGGTGAGGGCACCGAGACCGAGGAGTAGCAGCGTTGCGTACATGATTGATCGTTATTCGTTTGTGGATAGCTTCGACACGTGCAAAGCTAAAGAACGACAACAGCGCAACACGAGAAAAGGTGATGAGAGAACGAAAGAGAGAAAGAAGAGCGGTAGGGCTATGTAGACAAGCGGTTGTACAGTCCTTTTTATGCATTACACATTTTATAGCCAAATGGCAACGAGCGTTTATCGGGTTGTTAGATCTTCTTACATTCCTGGCATTCCAGAGCTCGCGTGGTGATGTAATTTGATCGCCGCAAGAAAGGCGCTGTTGTTTGTAGTCATTTGAATGTGATCTTGTTTTAAGTGAAGGGGGAAGCGGCAGTGATGCTGCACAACATGCATATGAGGACGAGAAACGGGTCCGTGGATGACCGTCACATCAGAGAATAGACGCAGGGAGTGATGTGCCTGGTGTTTGTGAAGAGACGAGCAGATGGTTGCAGGCGTCTCAAACAGAACAAGTCCTACTGAGCTGATCGGCATGATCGACCCTTTGGCGGGTGGTCACCATCGTCTCCGTTCTGTCCACGACGGCGAACATGCAAATGCCGCCATCGTGGAAATTATTCTCCTTCCGAGTTGCACAATTCTAACGATATTACAACGTGGTCTGGTTAAGATACGCCGCATTTTCTGCACCAAGTTTGCCGCAACCTCACAGCAAACCAGTACTGTGCAGCTCGGGTAAATGATGACTACGCAGAGTACACACAAAAAGACAGTACCACGTATGAATCCTATGGTACCTGGATCACAATTGCAATGCAACAAATGATTACAGAGGGGTACTTGCACAGCTGAAGTGTAGTAAGCTGTCCAGATTTAATTTTGAAGACCATGTGTTAGAACAGGGAGTTTGGAATGGCACTTAGATATATGCACATATATGCGCGCCCTTATATACTAGATACATTGTGCTATACTAGTAAATGAGACGTAAAACGCAGTGTGTCGAATACTCCCCTTCAAGCCCTAATATTCTGTCGTTAACGTTGAAGACCTATAAGTTCTATTAGGTGCTTGATTTGAGGGATGTAAAGTGCTTTTGTAAGAATGTCTGCAAGTTGGTTCTGTGTTTGAACATAACGTATGTCAACATAGTTGTTCTGAATGTAACAGCAGACAAAGTCCTTTTGCAAATCAAGGTGTTTTGTTTGAGTGTTGAAAGTGATCTCCTCAGATTTGACAGTTTGTATTGCTCTCTGATTGTCACAATAGACTGTAATGGGTGCCAATTCTGTCTGTAGTACTTCCTCAGCAAGTTGTTTGAGCCAAATGGCCTCTTGAGTTGTGTACACTAGTGCTTGCAACTCTGCTTTGTAAGTCAATAGTGGTACCAGATTCTGTTGTTTGCTTGACCAAGATATTGTTTGCTTTCCCAGCTGGAATATGTATCCATTAATTGATCAGTGTCCTTCTGTCATTTGTCTGTCAGCATTACAGTACCCTTGTATGGTCAATGTATTTGTGCCTCCAAGATGAAGCCAGTAGTTTGTAGTTCCTTTTAGGTACTGGAAGCAATGTTTTGCTACTTTGTAGTGGCTCATATTTGGTTGTTGTAGATAGTGCACTAATTGGCCTGTAATGTATGCAATGTCTGGCTGAGTGCAATCTGCTGTGTAGTGTAATGATCCTACCATATTCATGTACAGTATTGTTTGCATAAATTGTTTGTTGTCAATTGTATCATTCATACTTGTTAAGTATGTCCCAGGCATCATAAGAGTTTGTAGTGGTTTTTTGTTCTTAAGCTTAAAACATTGTATTATACTCTGGATATAGTGACTTTGCTGTAAGCAGATTGTTCTCTATTGTCTATTTCTTTGGATTTCGATTCCTAGAAGCCAGTGTATTTCATTTCTGTCTGTAAATGTAACATATTGTTTTAACACTTCTTTGAATGTATTCACTATAGTAATGTTTTCACCAATAATAGTGATATTGTTGATGTGCATGAATGTTATTAATATCGTTTTGTTATGCCTTTTCTTATAGAATACAGCATTGTCATAGTTTGCTTGTTACAATCCTATTTTGTGTAGTATATCTGTAATTTTCTTATACCATCATTGTCCTGCTTGTTTTAGTCCATATAGTGCTTTATTTAATTTTAGCACTTGACCAGGTTTGATATTGTTTAGTAATTTACCCAGTGGAGGTCTTACATAGATGTGTTTGTCTTTGTTTAATTCTCTGTAAAGATATGCGGATTTTACATCTATTTGATGTATTTCATAGTCTTTAGACACTGCCCAGCTTAATAACAATTGTACTATAGTTAATTTTGTAACTGGAGCAAATAGGTCATCTGAATAGAAATCTATTCTGTCCTTTTGGGCATAACCCTGTACTACTAGTTGTGCTTTGTATTTGTCTATATTGCTGTTAGCTAGTTGTTTTAATTTGTAGACAAATCTTGTTCCAATTATATTTGTATCTGTTGGTGGGTATGTGTATTCCCATGTATTACATAATTGTAATGCTGTTATTTCTTTGTTCATAGCTTTGATCCATTGTACTTTATCATTATTTGTTATAGCATTGTAATACATTAATGGATCATTATATACTTCATTAAGTAGTTTGTTAAATTCCATTAGATATATTGCTAGATTTATTTCATTGTCATAGTTTAATCCTCTAGCACATTTTGTTACTTGTTGTTCACAAGTTGATTATTGTAACTTGTTATTGTTATCATTATTATTTGTTCTGTTTGTTCTGTTATTATTGTTATTATTATTATTCGTTCTGTTCGTTCTGTTTGTATTATTATTACTGTTGTTCATTCTGTTATTTGTTCTGTTAGTTCTGTTCGTTCCATTATTATTGTTATTATTATTATTCTCCCCTTCAATTCTAGATGATTGTACATCTATGAATTGCAGGTTTTGTTCAACTGTTATTTTATTATTGTGCCATGTTATATGGCCTTTACTTTTGTTATTGTTGCTTAACCATTGTGTGTATTTACCTCTAGGCTCTAGTTTGTGCATATTTTCATTCTGTATGATGTAATATGCTCTGAATTCTTGTATGTTATCAATAGTGTATTGTTTGTTAAACTGTTTGTAATATAGTATTGCAAAATTTATTACAGTACATGGTGTTTGATTATGAATAAATGTTTGGTATTGTGCAGCATATACCCATAATTTCACAGGTAATTTAGACATTAATAGACACGTTTGTACTCTGTTAAATATTGTTTTGTGGATACGTTCTACAACTCTGTTTTGTTGTAGGGTATCATGTACCATTAATCATTGTATAGTTCCTTGACTTTCTATGTACACTGTAAAGTCATTACTTAGGAAGACAGTATTATTATCACTTTGTAGCATTTTTACTTTTACACTGTATTGTGTAAATAATTTTGTAGTGTATTTGATGTATTCAGTAAATGCATCACTTTTATGATGCATGGGTATCATATCTGCCCATTGTGTAGCATCATCAACAATTGTAAGTATGTATTCATATTTGCTGTATGCTTGTATAGGTGCTGGACCCTATATATTAATATGTAGACATTCTCTGTATGTTTTAGAAATTGCAGACGTTTGTATTTTAGGTATATCATTACATTGTATGTTTGCATACATACAATCATTGTATTGGACATTCTTATTGTCTGTTACTTTTCGTTGTATTATTTCAGGATGATTTTGTATGAGTTTGTGTAAATACTCAAAGTTAATATGACCCATTTGTTTGTGTAAGTCAATTATAGTTATTGTGTTAACGTTCTGTTGGTAATGATGATGTGATACTATCATATATAACTTATTGCATACTTGTATTTCTCCAATCTTTTTATTTGTAGGTGAATAGATAGTACACATATTGTTCGTTTTTACTAATTTGTGTCCTGCTTCACATAGTAATGCTTTACTGATTAATGTGAAGTTTAGATTAGGGTGATAGTATACATTATGTAGTATGATACTGCTTACATTCGTTTTGTTCATTCTGTGTTTGTTGTTTGCATCTTGTTGTATTCTAATTATCATTACTCCACTTTGTCTGAGTATGATTATTGTTTTGTTTGCAATTGTAACATTTATAGGGTTCATATATTGTACATTTGTTAATCAAAATAGATAGGGTGTAGCATGGATATTAGCACCTGAATCAAGTATGTTAATGTAATGTGTAAGTTTTGTTGTTCTGTAAGAACATGTATTAATGTATACATTTGGGTTATATTCCTCAAGGAATTTGTCAATCATGAATTCCCCCTGTATTTCTTACATTTGTTTGTCATTTATAGTGTCTAGTGTTAGCATTTTGTTTACTTTGTCAATAAACACTGCTAGGTCTGTAAGTGTAGCACTCATTGTTTGAGCTGTAATTTGTTGTGATGTAGATGCATTTGTCATTGTCATTGTTTGCTTTTTTCGTGCTTCCTTTGTAGTGTCTGTTACTGGACTACAGCACTCTTTGGACATATGTCTATATTTGTTACAATTGTAACATTTTGTTGTCTTGTAAGGCTTTGCATTGCCTCTACTGTGTCCTTGTCCTCTTGTTTGACCTTGTGTAGGCCCTAAGGATAGAGGGTGATTATTTGTTATTTTATTATTATTATTTAGTGTACTATGTTTATTCTGGTGGTTCTGTGTTTGCCACTCAGTAAATACATTGCATAATTTGTGAATTAATTTTGCTAGTGTAAACACCTGACATTGAGCTACAGTAACTGTGGGTAGGCTATTGTAATGTGTGTTCTGCCTATCAATCATTGTTGCAACCCACTTGTACTCTCTTGGAGTAGCAAGATTTATTGCTGAGACATAAGTATTATCATCTGGTACTTTGCTGTGAGCTACCAGTTGTGTATAGACTTGTTCTATTTGGTCTAGCATCTTGTCAAACTGTGAAACGTGTCCTCTAGCTGTGAACAGTACTGATATATTAACTGTGTGAGTCAATGTGGTTTGTGTATTGTATCAATCAGCTAGTGCCTGCATGAGGTCTTTCATTGTTTTGTGCATTGTAATGTTAGCATACACTGTATCTGATATTGTCTTTGTTATGAAATGATACAATAGTTTCCCTGTGTGTGTACTGTCTGTATCTGTGCTAGAGGGATTGTTTGTAAGATGGTCACTGAGCAGTATTACTGCTAGTGCATTTGTAATGTGTAGTTGCCATATCTTATAGTTCTTTTATTAGATTGTGCTCTGGATTAGGAAATCCCCAATTGCCTTATGAAGAATTACTGCTCTTGGAATGTCTTGGATTATCAGACTTCACTATGTAATATATAAGGTAGATACTTGCTTGATGTCTCAATAAGAGAGAGTACTTGGGGCACTCCTGCTACACTAGTCAAAAGGTTATGAGCCTTGGTGCC